TAAGGTTGTGAACTGTAATGTATTAAAATAGTTGAGAATGATTAGAACAATGGGTTGAGTATAGAAATTCTATCTGGGGCCTCTATTAAAATAATACCATCTACAAACAAAATTATAAATTAATGGGGTGTATGGCATCGTGCCTTAAGGCAAATTGCTGGAACTTCCCGTACCGTAACAAAATGTTCGAGGAATACTTAATGTTTTCAAATAGATTATTATTAATATTGTAACATTGTCTAATATTTATAAGAATTATATAAACTGAATTGCAAAGTTGAAATTATTTGTTTAAAGTATATTAGAACTATAGTCAGAATTAAAAATAAAATCTGAATCTTAAAAATAATTTTTTTTTCCAAAATCAACTATTTTGTTAAGACAAGCAGAAAGTTCTTTGAATTCTATAAATTGGACGCTTAGTTCTCTCAAAAACTGCCATTTTTTACATATTTAGCTCCGTATCTTCGAAATGGCTGGGCATGTCTTTGCCAAAAACTAATAAACACTTCTCCCAATCATTACTAATTGAATGTTTTTTATATCATTCATATCGGATACTCCGTTCTCTCAAAAACTCGATTTCTATTTTCTGCACTCTTTGCTCCGTATCTCCGAAACGGCTGGACCTGCCTTTGCCAAAAACTAATCAGCTCTTCTCCCTATCAATAGGAATCGAATGTTTTTTGAACCATTGAAATCGGTTGATCCGTGCGCCCGAAAACGTGACTGGAAATTTGTATCCATACATACATACACACACACACACATCCATTTTTTCTGAGGTATGCCAAAATGTTCAGAAACCTTCAAAACGTCGAGAAATGTAAAAATTTTCAATTTCGATTTTCGGCCCATTACAATAACTTACCCTGCGGGAAGTTAACACAGTTATATTAAAATACTTATTTTAAATTATCGAAGATCCATTGTGTGGCGTGATGTGGGAATTGTAAGTAAATCTAATCTAATGAAATTCGACCAAAAAATTAGGAATTGGATTCGGTTCTGTGCAAGTATACCATTTCGCAAAGTGTTGTGGCGTGCAATAGAATGGCAGCATGCACGAAATCATCGCAAACGAGCTCGCGGACCGAGACACAACAAGAACAGCAGGAAGGTATCGATATAAAAAGCAAGGTGAAAAAGATTTTCTACCGTACGCAGTACTGAACTGTGTGAAAAACGCCACCAGGCACAAATGCAAAAAGCACGAGACGAACACATTGTAGATTCGGCAACACAAAAGACCCAGATTGGTACGTGCTTCCAACAATACAAATACGCTCGCGCGCCGCATATGGTGGTCTTGATTTACTAACAGCGAAAATTGAAACACCCCACGACGCAGTTTCAATTCAAAAAGGTAAAAAAAGGAAGAAACAAAAAAATGTATCGCTGCTCCCTGTGATTGGAAACAACTTGATGGGTGCTGATATATAGCATGGCTCGAAGAGATTCTAACGCCGGCAACATTCTAGAAATTTTAGGAGCATATCCATCTTATGTTGAGCAGTAGTGAGTAAAGAAAGTTTTTAATCCGCGTTTTGAAATATTATTATTGCATGTCTAGGCTTAAAAAGGATTATGATAGATCAATGTTGCTACTCATCAATTACGGTTAGTACTATAACCATTGTAAAGAGTTTGACCCCTTAACTTAAAATGACGAACAGAGCCCGCGTGCGATTTCTAGACCAAACATAAATATTACGGGCATAGCCCGCGTACGATAATCGGAAAAGAAGCAAATATTACGCATTATGGACATTGGCCGGTACGGAAATCGCAAGTATCACAAAATATTTATATACACAATACTATAAAACACAAAATTATTTTTAGTTTTGTGAAAATCTGTACACAGTGTAGCAAAATAGTCACAAACGCTGCGCCAGCTTGTACAACTTTGGCCGATAATGCTATTATCGATAATGCTATATCGAATCTAAATTGTAAGTTAAGGGGTTAATTTGGTTCTTTATTTCACACATTGCTAGCAAAATTACCTTCGATCGCAGTAGAATCAAAGAATGAAATTTCATTAAATGTGATGGAATTATATTGGCTAATGGGCCGAGACTCTAAATTGTCTCTGTGTAGAGAACAAGTTATTGTTGTTCAAGAATATAATATAACCAATATGGATGTATAGTGTAGAGTTATGGGGCACTGCATCAAAATCAGAAGTTGCAATAACTCAAACCAAGATTCTAAGATCAATTTTTTACGTCTCGTGGTATGTTACAAATTTCACAATATACAAAGACCTGAAAATATTAACAGTATGAGAAACACCACGAGAGTGTGCCTTAATTCATAGAAACAAATTAGAGATCCACCCAAATCCAATAGTTCAAAACATCCTACTACAGCAAGACAACAAAAGGCTGAAAAGGAAATGGCCATTGGATTACGCGCAAACTAACCAAGTTATATCATTGAATTATCTCATAAAGATAATACATTTTTGAAGTAAAACTTCTTTAGGCACGACCAGGGTGTAAATCCGTACAAATGCAACGGAAATGGCGTTACGCCCGGACTGTACGTCATTCGCTCTCGATGAAATCATTTCAATACGGGTCGATTGTGATTAGGCGTCGTGTATATGAATAGAGATCTGTCGTTGTATGCGTACCGGCATCAATGTTGTATGCGTACCGATATCAACAAGCAAATCGGCATAGATAAATGAAATGATGAAAAATTGATTTAATGAAAAATGCCTGAATCAGAAGAATATTTTACTCTGTTCCTTGAAAATAATAAAACAAATTAAACATTTGTGCCGTGTACTAAACGTAAGTTTATTGATTAAAAATTATTTTTATATTATTCGTAGTTTCTATAAATCTTTGAAGTTATTAAAATGAAAAATATTTTTTAAGCAAGACAGATATTACAGCTGTTCAAAGAATGAGATTATATGGCCAGCGAAAAAGTAAAAAAAAATACAAGCAGTAAATGAATGTATGTTAATTTTAATTACATGAAGTTCTTCAAGTACAGTTACATGACGAGTGAAGTTGCGAAAACAATATTTGTTTAGGCGATGTTTAACATAATCCACTGTGTGAACAAATATTACAGAATTTATTAATCAGCAATTACTTCATTTCTCTAATGAAGGTTTATTTCTAAATGCTAATTACAATGAGAAACCGATCATGTCATATTTGAATGCATGACTTTAATTACATTATTGTTTTTAAATATTATACATATTTTTAATGCTATTATAAATATATAACTCATAATTTATCATTATATACTACACACTAATAAAAATGCATCACGAGTGTTACCATATTACTAATGAAATATCATTCAAAATTGTTATATATAAATACATCATATTTATTTTTACTGAACTTAAATTTGCTACTTTGTACAGTAGCAAATAAGTTTTACTTCAATCGCGTGTGAACCTTACGCGCACTCTTTTTTATTATTTAGTGTACAGTTTAGCTCATAGAAATAATTATTGTGTTTCTGATTAAAATAAAGTTAAATGAAAAAATTACAGTAATGTCGTCCGTTCTTATCTAATATTTCAGTACCGACAGATAAAAATACGGGGGTGTTAAAAGCGGAAGCTGTACTATGCAGGATCTCGCCCTCAATGAAAACACGTCCGTACTCGCGCGCATGAGATGATGCCGCTTTCTGTAGTGATGAGCAGGTGCTTCCATTCATCATATGACACACCAATCGTTTCAGCGATTCAAATTTATATAATTATAGTCACAAATGACGTTTCTTATTATTGTTACTGAGTTATACCTGATAATAATAAAAATATTAATATTTAAAAGTTACGACCTCGCCAGAAAACTGCTTGAAGACAACCTTCCAAAAAGACTAAAACGCAAACACCAGCCACAATTGAGTTTATAGAGTAATATGCACCCAACACAATCTAGTTCCTATAGTATAAAACCACAATTAATCATAGCCCTTATATCAATTAGCACAAGCCATTATATTTACTGAATGTCCATACGGGCAGTAGTGAATCTTTATGTATAAAAATTAAAAAAAAATAATACTTAAAGGTATTTATATTAAGTTAACTCGTGCTTGTAGGCCGAACTTTGCTGACCGAAACTAGATGTATTATTTGTAAAAGCTGTTGTCTACCAGTGCAAATAGATGATTGTTATACTGCTTAGCACACTAAACAGAAATATTGAAAGTTGAATAAAAAAAATTTTAAAGTTTATTTTTAACTTCCCGTAGGGTAAGTTATTGTAATCGTCGAAAAATCGAAATTGAAAATTTTTACATTTCTTCACGTTTTGAAAGTTTCTGAACATTTTGGCATACCTCAGAAAAAAACGGATGGGTGTGTGTGTATGTATGTATGTTTTTGATAAAGGCAGGTCCAGCAGTTACGAAGATAAAGAGCAAAGAGTGCAGAAAATAGAAATCGAGTTTTTGAGAGAACGGAGCATCCGATTTGAATGATCTAAAATACATTCAATTAGTAATGATTGGGAGAAGTGGTTATTAGTTTTTGGTAAAGGCAGGCCCAGCCATTTCAAAGATACAGAGCTAAATGTGCAAAAAATGGCAGTTTTTGAGACAACTAAGCGTCCGATTTATATGATTCGAAGAACTTTCTGCTTATTTTAACAAAATAATTAAATTTGGAAAAAAAATTTTGTTTCAACTTTTTTTTTGTTTCAAAAAAATTTTTTTTTGTACGAAAATAATTCAGATTTTATTTCTAATTCTGACTAAAGTACTGATATACTTTAAACAAATAGTTAATATTAGTTGAATCTGTCTGCTAATGATGTTTGGAAACCGAAAGTATAGAATAAGACAACAAATTATTCACTCAATAAAACATGTCTAAGATATAAAAGAAACAATAATATTTCGCATATCTATCGTGTTTTAGATTAGTTCATGTTCAAGTATTGAAATAAAAATGTATTATTACGTAGATGTCCTTTATTAAAATAAAAATAAATGCAATGTAAGAAACTTACCTGTGGTGCTTAGAAGAGTTGAAATAATAAATAGAAGTGTGGCCAAGGGTGAGGGCATCCTAGGGAAAACGAAATTGGGAAATTTTCGTCTTCTTCCTGAAAAAATAATAAATATATTTATTATACTGTAATAATGACATACGATTTAGTTATATATAAATATTGTCTGCAACAACTTACAACTTAATATTGTTAACTAAATATTATGAGTAATAAATGAATGAAGTCATAAGTGACTTAGAGCTAAGATTGTAACAAATATTCCAGCTAATTTAAATCAATTCCATTAGTATACTAATAGAGGCTTTAGAAATTGATTATTAAATCCATAATTTGTTTGTGCTGAATTCAGCAAAAAATAGTCGACTTATTAAAGCTTAATGAATATGAGTTCACCGTATTTAGTTTCCGACTACAGAACTCTTTTCTCACTTCAATCAATCAAACTTAAAAATCAATAGTAAAAAAAAATAAGATTAAACTATACACACAGAAGTGTATATACCATTAATTATTGTTCAAATAATGCTGCATTTTTCACCAATATGTTTAAATAGATATCTTTGAAGAGAAAATGGCATATTGTTGATATTCTAAATTCAAAAACTATGAATAGTACATAAAAATTCATGTCCAATTTTCTTCATTTTTATGGAATTTTAATACTAATATCATGAATTTAGTTAATTACATTCACCAGGATATCGAATGATTTCATGCACATTCGAGCACATATAGGCATAAAATTCCTAACGAACAAGTGAAATGGTTTTATGATCTTGGGATACTTCAAATAATGTAATTATACTACTAACACTACCTTGGGCGGGCGGTGGGAATATGTCGCTAACAGCACCCGCATTTTCCAGACGATGCTCACTGAAGCAATTTTTCACAATCTGATTTTATTTCGACCATAAACGTAGTAAATCATGGGCAACAATGTGTTTCGTATAGTTTTATATTCAACTACTTGGCATTATTTACGTGCATGCCGACTTGTGGTAAAAGAACAACTACCATTTCGTGGGCGACTTCCGCGCACGGCGGAAAAATATAAATTGTAGAAAATTCATAATGTGCAATAAAATTTTTGCAGGCAATGTTACAAAAATATTCAAATGATTTATTTATTTATTTGGTTCTTTGTTTTTAAAATTTTCTCAATCAAAAGACGTTTACATGATTTATCTATATTGTTAATTGGTTTATAAAATGATACTTAAAGCAGTAGCTCCAGCATAAAATTATACTATCAATGATTCGGGCTTTGAACTACTTATATTAACATGATATCGATGAAGACAGAAGTCCATTGACACTGAAATCCGATACAATCGATTATTTGTTTGATAAGGTAACTTAGATAGCCATATAATATCATAGAGTTTATTTTTACATCAGCTGCTGAGTGTAATGAGTTCATATGTTTATCCATAATTTATTGAACTGTGCAATACATTTGATTTTTCAGTTTACACTATTTGGTTTGCAAAATAAGATGTAAACAAATTTCGCAAATAAAAATGTCGCAACTCTCGACGAGTCTGAGCTTGTTCCGATGATGTGCAATATATAACAAAAAAAAAAACGCATATGTTTCAAAGTTACACATGGAATTGGAAAAAGCTCATGAAGATATATTAAAAACAATATGTAGTGTAAGTATTTATAGATAAGGATTTACAAGAACGATTTGCACAACATATCCAACAAACACGCTTCGAAAATCATTTATGTCCAAGGTACTGTTCATACAAGCATGAGTAGAAATAAATGGTATTTAACACGAAAGGTCATCCTTATATATATATATATATATATATATATAAGTTAATTTAATAATATAAAATTTATATTATAAATGGCGAGGAATATAAATTCTTGTCATTTTATTTCTCTCGATCAAATTTATAGTTGTGACCAACCTTATTCTTAGTCTTTTCAATCGGTCTTTTATAAGCTGTATTTACAGATGATCTAATATAACAATACCCTAAGCAAGTCAAATAAATAAAATAAGTAAAATTAATTAGAAGAACTCAATTCGAAAAAAAGTTAGAGTATCACTGAACTGTATCCTGACTCTATTTGGAATAAATCTGATCTGATTTGAATAATAATCATAGGATTTTAAATGGGCTGGCCATGGTTCTGATCTCCACCTTGACCAGCTTGATATCGAGCAGTAGTAATATCAGAATTTAACTTGAAATTATAGATGAAGTGAAATTAGTTTTCTCGAGGCATTACTTCAATATATATTTAAATCACTATAAGAAATATATTTAATATAGGTAATCTCATCAGAAAGAGAATGGTCAATTACTGAATTGCCCTCTAGAAATACTAGAATAAGAAACGCATTTTACTTGAGATTAGAGATCTCAAATGCGATATATCAAGCAAAAATAGCATTTCGGGGCATTGCTATAATATATATTTACGTCACTATTAGAAATATCTAATATAATCTCATCAAAAATTTACTGGTTAATCACTGAATTGCATACTAGAAATACTAGGATGAGAAAAGTCCATCACAAAAGCTTATAAAACACTGTTCTCATTGTTAAAAAGAGGTATGTTAAATACATTTTTAAAGAGATATCTACATGCAGTACATTTACAAATTTGATGTCTTCAAGTGAAGGTGATATTGATAAGTAAAACATTTACAAAAATGATTGCCAGAAATTATAAAATATCAGTAGCACTCTTGGTCAAGCTTTGTGGTATATTTTATGTTCAGTAAAACTAAATAATATTACTGCATATAAATCAATACTGTGCGCATGCCTTAGCTCATTTTATTATTCAACTCCTTATGTGCATATTAATTCCGTATGTGTAAATCAGTAAATCATATTTCTGACACACTTAAGTGAAATAAATTTACGGCCTCAGTCTCGTTCACACAGAGCGGTTAGCGAGCACCGAAATTCCTATACAACAAACAAATATGCAAAAAGGTAACTAATTTGTGTTGTGAACAGAATTTCTGTCCTAATTACTATCGTTTAGCATAGATCCGCTACCTAGACTGTTGGACCTACATTATCCCATAAGTAGTAGTAAGTAATATATTGTACATTACAGTCTCTATTTCGTACTGGTGTATCAACACATATACAAAGAAAATCTTCAGAAACGAAATTGCATCGCACTAAAATGAAACTGTGAGAATCGGGTCCGATTCGCAAGACGACGCGCCGCGCTTGAGAGTCGATCTCGCGCTAACAATCGTTTCACATTGGCTCGATTTTTAAATTTTAAATAATCAACGCCACGAACTATTCCCAATGCTTTTTCGTTAGAAGTTAGTTAAGACTTCAATGATATATTATATACATCACCAAAAATATTAAACAAGAATGATTATTATAATTCAATAATGTACGCGTCGTTTGTTTGCTGAAGTAAAGTTGGCATGCGTGCGCCTTTTTCGTTCATAGAGCTCTTTTCCGGACCACCGACTTATATTTCATAAGCTGATAAAAATATTGCTAGTAATTACTATCTTTATGTGAGATGCAAATAGTGAAAATAGGTAGCAGGTGAAACTGGGTACGGTTGTGCCAAGGTACGGTAGTGACAGTCGTCGTAACAGCAAAATTATACTGATTTTGAAAAAGGGTCCATGGAGAGAAAGATGTAGTATGTTTATTTGAACAAGTTCCATTATTGCTTTCATTATAGCTGATCAAGAAAGTGGCACAACCGTACCCATTCCCCCCTAAGGAACGCCATATATATGAATTTTAGATAGCACAAATACTATTTTATGAAAACAAACAATACCCAATAAAAATCACTTACTATAAAAGTTATGTCTGATAAAATAATCATTAAAGCATACGCAGCTTCCGCGTCTCAGAAATAAATTGATAAATTTCATTAGCTGAGTATATTCAAAATTCAAGACCAAAAAATCTTATTGACCTCGAGATATAGTAATGTTTCATGAAACAAGAGGTCATAAAATAGAATTGGCAAACGCACTTATAGGTTTACACACGGTATTTAACGATTTATATAAATGTTAATGAAAATATAAATGTTAAATTGCGAGATATCATCTAAAATAAAATAATATAATAAAATATAAAGGACAAATATGAATACAACAAAAATAACAAAACTTTTAACAAAAAAACAAACAACTTTGACAAAATCTCTGTATAATAAAATTAACAAAATCATCTAATATAAAAAGAAATAAATTCCACTTTTGAGGAGTGAAATTTATTTCAGGGGTCGTCCATTAATCACGGTGATACGTGGTGATATTCAGAATTACCCCCCCCCCACCAAACATCACGTGTACTTTTAGTTACCTCAAAACAATTTAAAATTTTTTATTTTGTTGAAAATGTTTGGATTTAAAAAAAAAAAAAACAGGTAAAAAATAAATACACTTGATATTTTACTATACCCCTCCCTCCACCACGTGATTTTTCAATTATTGGTATAAACATAACATTATTTAAATTCATTTAAGTGCTTATAAATGAATAAAAAGTATATAAAATATTTTTTGAATAAATATATAATATATAGTATAGAGAGTATAGTAGAGAACGAGGGTAGACATAATGTGGAGCTTCACACATTGGATTTGCCTTTATACAGAAAACCAACAGAAATAATAATAATATATAGTTCAACAAAAAGTCCTTCGCAAGAACTAGAAAAAAACCAATGAGGTCACATAACCTTGCATACTTCACTGAATAATACTATTTTATAATTGTTTTAAGAGTTTGTCACATGCGTGCAATTTATTAGCCTTTCAGTTAACATTTTGCAATAGTGTAGGTGGTGACATTGCCACTGATCAATTGTCAATACTACGAAGCCATTTTTATAATATTATCCATCTTTGATTGGAAATTTAATGTTATATATATACATATATATATATATATATATATATATATATGTATATATATAATAAAAAAATACAACTAGTCGATGGAACAGATTCCTTATCTTAAATACTTATTATCTAGGTCAAAATACATGGAAAACTGATTAGTGTCAAAATAAACAAGATACGACGCATTTGGGTGATGAAAAACCTTACCAAATAAGAT